TGAGGGTGGGTCACCAGACTTATTTGGGCCAAACATCGTTACTTCAGTCTTTGTCTCATTAAGTTTTAACAAGTTTAGTGTCATCCAGTCCTTGACGTCATCAAGACACGACAATAGTGGCCTAATTGAAAAGTTATCCCTCCTCTTTAGTGGCATATAAATCTGAATTTCATCAGTATAACAATGAAAAAGGGCACCATGCTTTCTCAGGATGGAACCAAGAGGTAATAGATATAGTGAGAACAGCAAAGGCCCCAGAATCGATCCCTGCGGAATCCCACAAGACAGAGGGGATGACAAAGATTCAATATCAGCAATGCCTACACACATGGACTTGCCAGACAAGTAAGACCTAAACCATTCCAGTGCAGTGCCCCTAATGCCCACGACATCTTTAAGCCAGGATATTAAAATACTGTGATCAACCGTATCAAAAGTCGCAGTCAAATCTAACAGGACAAGGATCACATAATCATCGGCATCGGTTGCCAAGAATATATCATTAAAAACCCTTAATAAGGCCGACTCTGTACTATGTAAAGTTTTAAAAAAAGATTGGAAGACCTCCAGGACATTGTGCTTGTCTAAAAAGGACTTCAACTGAATATAAACCACCCTCTCTAATATTTTAGAAATAAAGGGGAGCTTGAGATTGGCCTAAAATTAGTTAAGACCAAAGGGTCCAAACCTGGTGTCTTAAGTAGAGGTTGCACTACATGCAGGGACAACACCAGACGACAGACTACTGTTAATAATAGCCAAGACCAGCTTACCTATACACGGAAAGACCTTTTTAAAAAAACGCGGGGGAATAACATCTTGCAGAGAGCCAGATAGTTTAATCTGACTAATCATTTTCTCCAAAAAGGCTAAAGTTACAGGTTCAAATGCATCAAAAACGGCCACACAAGGGACCAAGCCCGAGGGGTCAGAGACAGCGGCTGTACCCAGAGCCCTCGCAGCAGCAACCTTCTCAATTAAAAACTGTAAGAAATTATCACACACCTCAACAGAGGCTTCCAGGCAGACAGGCTGTGCAAGATTTAACACAGACCCAATTGTTTTAAATAACACACGTGGATTATGACTGTTTGATACAACAATATCAGACAGAGCATAACATAACCTCCTTAAGGTAATAAAGAAATTTGCAACAAAAAATTAAGTTGAAATTATATCACTTACCTGAGTTTTTATAATCCCTCTTCCTGATTACTGAACAGTTATACAAAGTGCAATATCACACTGAGGTATTTCCAGCATACCTACAATGAAATTTATTAGAGCAAAATTTTGTGGTAGGCCTCTGATTTAAAGCATATCACTACTAGCACTAAGCTGACTATGACATGACTGTAAATCATATGATCCACAAGATAAGGGGCAAATTCCCTCTCAGTGTCTTTATACTATGACCACTAAAGTGCAGTTGAGAAAGCAAGACTTTTGTTTTCATCATAATTATTGTTAGGGTTGTCCCCATTCAGTTTTTTTATGATTCCGATTCTTTTAATATCAAGTATAATTAATTTTCTGTATATTTACCTACAGAAAATATTCAGTAAATATCCTGACCTATTAAAAATTGCACCATTTTTATAGAGCTTCATGATTCAAAAACTGGATCAGGTCCTGGTTCCAAAATTTCAAGCTTATTAGCTTAAAATTTAATATCATCCCAGAAGATAAAATTGGTTTTCTTATGAAATGCTTTCAAATGGCATTTGTAGGATTTGACATTTTAACTGATCTAATACTTTCATATTTACTGTCAGATCCCACACATTCAGCAGGTGTAACTAAAGTTCAAAATATCTGAGGTTCTGAATCAGAATGTACTGATAAATTAATGGATATTTAACTGAGATACAACTCCTGAAACTAACTAAACACAACACAGCCAGATCGTTTTAGTTTAGACAACTCATCACTCTATTGGTCTTGTTCAACTACAACAACTATACAGTCACGATCTTGGAGTGACGTTACAGAGTGGTGCTTGGTTTAACTCAAAAATTATTTTTGGCCACATTCCCAAATAAGCTGTTATCATTTAGATGTAAGTAAATAACTGTACAACATTACAACATGGACATTTTTGGAATACGTAATGATGCGGCACCAAATTAATGTACTTGCCAACTTATGTCATTTTGAGCTGACAGACATTTTGTCATTTATGTCAAAATGTGAGTGCCCCGATAGAAAGTTGTTACAGCACCGCAGCCACGTACGCATGCGTAGAGTGTCCACGACACTGTTGGTTCGAGTCTGGCCAGTGACATCTGTTGCAGTTCTAAGCCTCTCTGTGACCCACTGACTGGTAAAGGCAAAAATAACTTTAAATGGTTTTGTTAAAAATGTCCAGATTATTTCAGCTTATTTGGGTTGACCTGTAAAAACCAGCCCTGGTAGGCTAGTGGTTAAGGCGCAGCGCTCTTGCCGCTGCAGCCCAGGTTCGAATCAGGGTTGTGTCAGGAAGGGCATCTGGTGTAAAACACGTGTCAAATGTCAACATGCGAGTCGTCAGTGTGACGATTTGCTGTGGCGACCCCTAAACAGGAAAAGCTGAAAGTGACTTTCTGTTTGTGTTGACCTGTAAATAAGTGAGTCACTACAAGACTATAAAAATGCAATTTATTGTATTATTAAGACTATTCTGACAGTGTTATTTATTGGCTCTGGATACATTAAGGCATGATGACTTGGTCCACATTAAGACAATGATGGTCGTTCCTAACCCTAACCCTAGGGAATGCAATATGTCAATGAGTGTCCTCACAGAGATAGAAGTACAAGTGTGTCAGTGTACATGTCTCCAGGTCACGTGTTCTTTGGCTCTTTTCTGCAGCTGCAGAAACAACGAGAAGGTCTGCATGTGTGCCTGATGTTGTCTTTAACAGTTTCCCTCTGAAGCCTTGTCGAGACATTCCACAGTAAACACACACACACACACACACATTACAGAACCTCACTGCCATTGTTTCTCACAAGGCAGGGTACAGGGTCGATTGCCAGTTGTAGAACATTATCAGTCTCCCTGTGTTAGCTTGTGTTTTTCTCTCTTTTTTGTGCAGACATGCTCTCAGCTTAGGGAGCTGGTTCATGGGCCGGTCAAAGCCGCCTTATTTCCTTTTAATTGACTTAAGATGGGCAAACAAGACTTCACCAAGCACACGGTACCCATTACACTTGCACACAAGAAACTCACAACACCAAGATGAACACTAATGAAGCACACATACTGACACAGACAGCCCCAATTGCCACTGCGTGTGTTAGCCTCTTTACAGTTCCATATGACTAAATGAGGGGGTTGTGCTTTCCCAGTCAGTGCTTTAGCGTGCTACAGCCAGATCTCATTCGTGACTAGTAATCTTTTTAGTCACCTTGCTGCAGTGCTTAGTTTGTAAATTATGATGTCCTAGACTATCACTTGTTGACAGTGTCCTCACTGACCGGTACATTTGCGTAGCATCCACATTAAAGGAGCAGCTTAGAGGCGAAACATTATTTGTTGTATGTTTGTAGTGACCAATAATTCACACAAGAAGACTCACACTGGCAAATGCGAGTTCTATGTAAATGTCAAGTTTGAGTGATGCTAAATGCTTTAGGACTGCAAGGCTACGGCCACTAGTCCGTTCAAAGGACACCTGACATCATATTTTTGGCCTTATTACTCCACTGCACATTAACATTATATTCAGAGTATTACAGCAACAAATTTAAAGCAGACCAGAGTCTATATAATGCAGTCACATTAAATAAACATGTTCTTACCTTCAATTATTTAAACGAGCCCATAACACAGTCATGGGGCAGGGGTCCTCTTTCATGCTATTCTGTGCTTTACTTTAGTCCTTTTGAAATCCATGACCTCAGCATTAGACTGGCTTGTAGCCTACTAACCTTTTCATTAACAGTTATAGGCTTTAAAACTGGGTCCTGCTTGGCCTGTTTAGCTTCCAATTTCTGACTCTCCTCGCCCTGCTTAGACTTGAAATACTTTAGCAAACTTGCTTGTCTTTTTTGCATTTTCGCTCCATGGCTACCATAACATTACACTGAATGCGCACCTGACCCAGTGCGACCTGTGGAGACTATGTTGTGATGTAATTATCCTGCCTGTTTTTATTGTTTTTAATTATTCTAATTTTAGTCTAATATGCCATTGTAAAAGGCTAGTTGTACCAAAAGTATTAGCCTTTGGACATTTTATATATAACTTATTCCATTTCTTTCATGTGTAAATGAGGTGCTGGCTCTGTCAAAATGTGCGCTGGTTGGTCACATTTTGAGAGGTGCCAGATCTGGATCTGTCTAGTCCCAGATTGGTATGTTTCACAGTGAGATCATGATCAGAGAGAAGACTGTCTTGTTGCTTTTCAAAGATGAATTTAATAAGACTGTGAGTTTTCTAAAACCATTTTTACACATGGAAAGTTGAATGTTGCTGGCTCTAATTCGTGGTGTAAGACAGTGGTTTTTGGCATTAACACTTAGCCCTACTGCTAACGATTACACGTTGATTCTTTTCACATGACACGACAGTTTTGTGCTGAGGTCATCAAAGCAGCCAGATGGAAAATAATAACACAGAGGAAGAGCAGAATTTTTGGGTCTCTCACTATGCTAGACTGGTGTTTGCACTCTTCATGTGGACTGTTACTGTCTTATTGTATTTCTCTATATTTTTTCTTGCACTGTGAGGAAAACATGCTCCACTACTGAAACATGAGGCAGACACAATGGCACAATAAGATGCTGGAATATTTACAGGCTAATGAGCATGTGAGAAAGTGGCTGAATGAACACTGTTTGATTACTTTTTGTAGAAAGAACAACTAAAGACAAAGTGATTGAAAAGTTGTGTACACTCTGCTTGATCTTTAAGATGAAAAGCTTTTTATGACAACACAAATCATGAGCATGTAAGTTCCTTCCAAGAAGAATTTAGTATAGACAGTTTCATCATTTTGTCCAAATAGAATGTTTTTGGCCTAAGTATGTTGGCTAAGGAACAATATTTTTAAACATTCTGTCCTTGTTAGTAACCCATAGATTTGGTTTTCTGGAGAGACTGGGTTAATTATAATGGACTTCCCTTTTATGAAGCTTTAGTGTTCAGTAAGGGCTTAAATGTTATTTATAGGCTTTGTCACCCACACAAGAATAGGCTTTGTAGGAAATGGCAACAGAATTGTAAGACATTCAGTAATGGCACAAACTAACAGCTTCAGGAGGGGAAACATTTAGCCCTTTGTTTCTTTTAGTAATACAATCTGAAAAGTGACTTTTGCATTATTGTAAGGGAACACCACTGATTAAATGTTTGACTTTGATCGTTTTGGGGGACTTGTTAGAGACAAAAGTTTACTGTATTTATTTAGTCTCTGCAGAGGCTGAGATATGCTGACTTTTAGTCCCTAGTATCAGGTCTAGCTATTAATATTGTACATCCCATAATGCACATTGACAGCTTCTTTTGCTTGACCCTTCCTGTCTGGAAGATGCCCATAGCACTTAAAGTTGTGCCCCCACACTGTAACATAGGCTGCAGATTAAAGGGCTCCCCAGTTTGCTGCAGTATCAAATCAGCTACCCACTGCTAGAGGATGACAAACAACACATATACTATAGAATAACAGCAGAGATGTAAAACCCAGCATTTTTTTAAATTTCCTATTTGTCTCTTGCAGGTTATTCCTAAAAAGAAGCTCTTCGCCCTGCAAATTACCATTTCAGTTGATTTGTTATTTATTTATTTTTCCTCTCGGGCATGCCTATCATTTTCATAACCCCTCCATCCATTCATCTACCCTTCCCTCTCTCCCTCACTACCCAGTCAGCATTTTGTCATTGGTGTGAGAGAGAGAAGAGGACAGGCAAGAGGAGGAGGAGGAGGAAGAAAGGAAGATGGCACGCTTTCTTCTTGTTTGTCTTTCTGTTTGTCTTCCTGTTTGTCTGCCTGTTCGTTTGATTATAACATACACACTTTAATAAGTTCAGGTATTATAGTTATTTTCTAAGGCTATATCAATATTTTCTTCTTAGTTGCTGTGCTTAGGATGCTTCCCTTGAGAGGCTGGCATGTCTGATATCATGGCAACATTGACAGGCTCATTAAATGTTTCAGTGCTATTAACCCCCAAAGCCAGTCATCCACTTTAGATGATCACTTTCTCACTGCAGCATTATTGTCTTGTTGTTAGTCTATAGTTAACTAAACTGACCCAGACATGGCTGTTGCCAAGCTTTGAATGCTTTAGAGAGCACAGTGGCAGGTGTGTACAGTTTGTAGTTGTCCAGTAGTTGTCTGTCAGTGCTCATTGTGTACATCAGTATAGGTCATCACATAATACCAGTGCATGCATCACAGCACAGGACATACTGGAGAAATAATTTATGGTTATATAAGAGAATTATTTAATGCCAAGCCTTACAGCTATATACATCCGTGCTATTTACAAGCCACAACATATACTGAGTGCCATAGAAAGGCAAAAGAAATGATGTCAACATACCTAAAGCTGTCACTGTCCTGACCAAAGAAGTTTCCCAGTGATCCACAGCATGCCAACTTTCAGGCCTGGGCATGTGACTTCATATGACCTGTGATAACTGCCACATTTTAATTTGTGATGAATCCAGTGATTTGAAACTAATTGCTGTCAGTTGTGTTATGTGCTGGCTATCATCAGAAAGATATTTCAAAAAAGCACTAGTAGTGTTTGTGTAAATGTTATTGAAACACAAAATAATTTACCGCAGAGACTCTTAGATGACATAAAAGAGGAAACAAAACTGCTGAGACCAAGTGTGTTATGCCTGAGTATTATCCCTGATCCTTCGTAATGTACAAAGTAATGGGAAAAATGAACTACAGTATTTTGTTGTTTGACAGAAGAGGAAGAAGAGAAGTCATGACACTATCATTTTTTTCTACTTCCTTTTGGTTTACAGATCTCTACTAGAAATTCACTGTTAAAGCGGCTCTAACTTTCAACTGTTAAGGGTGAATGAGAATCAAACTCCAGCAGTATCCCCTCCTCTTCTCCCTCTGCTCTTCTTTGGCCCTCCTGCCCTGTCTCTGGAATTACATCATATGTGGTCATGACAGACAGAAACAGTTGCAACACAGGCAAATAATACAGAAGCATGTTTTTCCCAGTAATATTGATACAGTACTAATGTTCTGGCCACTATTGCATCATGTTCAGTGTTGCATTCTTGACACACATATTATGCTAGAAGGTAGCCATGGGTTGTAGGTAAAATGAGAAATTTCATGTTACGATTTGATACGTTTTGAAAAAGCTCCCCACTGTTCTAGTTAATAGTGTAAATTTTAACAACTTCTCACAAAAATTTTGCATGTACTGCAATGTTATGCCTGGCATAAACTGTACCAAAACCAAAATTAGCAGTATTATTGCATTTGCTAATCCAGGAAACACACTGGTTTCCGTTATTTGAACAACAAAACACTAACACTGCAGTCAGTTGGAATGACTCCAAATTACAACCAGAATAGTTCAACACAAAGATATAAAATTAAAATGATAGTTAGCTTTGTAATGATGTCGACATATACACATTAGCTTAGCATCTAGCAGGAAGAAAGCCACATCTGCATCAGATTTTAGACCTTTGGTTGCTTTTAATACTCTCCATCTCTGACATGCAAACCAGTGTTACCCCTGGTTTTGTAGCAGTCTTTCTGTGCTACAGAATGCGGTCTCTTGTGTCTAACAGGTCCAGTCTCCCATCCTGTTCTATTCAAATTTTGTTATCTTAGTTATTGCATCTGTTTAAAAATAGCCTTTTCCAAAATATGTTGTTTAAGTAAGGCTATTACTAACTTTACATCTCTAAGGATTGACAGTTAAATGGACTTGAACAATATTTTGTGATCCAAGTGCAATCTGTTAATCGCGTGACTCAACATTATCTTAAATCATGGAAATAGTAGTGTTCAAAAATCCTGGTGTTTAGATGTTATGAGGTCCCAGCCGACACACCACACTACACTGGCAACAACAATCAAACTGCTTTCAAAGTCATTTAGATCAGGCACCTTGCAATTTGACTGTTTAGTCAAACAATAACTAAACCTATTGAACTAATCTGTGGGCCTCATATGTTGATTTGCAGCAAACCGGATGCGCTCTTTGAAGTAGCTTTCTGTTGACACGAATATAGTGGTCACTGAGTCTGTATATTATAATATATGTAAGTCCTGAGGAAGGTGACTGATGGGCCACTGGTGGGTAGGAAAAATGTCATGTAGCGTTAATATACGAGCCAAGTAATTAAATGTCTTTTATGTGCTTAAAATTAACAGCCACAAGTGTAAAGCCAACAAAAAAATTACAATGATGAGCAAAAGAAAAACATCAAGTTTTTAAATTGCAATCATGAAATAAAAGAGAAATTTGCACACATTTAAACAAAAAAATATTGTGTGTTGTAAAATTTATTATAAATTTGTTTTAAGAGCCAAAATTTCTGCCTCACATGAAGCAGTCCTCCCAGCCTGGCTACAGAAAATGAGACAAAGTGTACTGGGCTCAGCTGTCTCTTGTATCATTGTACAGCTTTTGCATTGAGCAGCTCACACAAACACATACCCAACACACACTCAGAAGCATTTGGCCTTTAGACAGAGAATAAAGCATGTATTATATATTCAGCTCAGGATGAGATGGAAAGAAGGGTCACACTATGAGGGAGGAAGTGCACAAGTGCACTTGTGTATACAGAGGACCAGACAGTGTGGTGTGTGTATGAGGCTCCTCCAGGGTTTCCTTGTTGTTCTCTTCAAATGGTTCAAATTATTATGCATCAGTACCACTTAAATGCAGAAGTACATATACAAGTTATAGGGAAATTGTCCTGCTGGAGCGCTTCCCTATTGAGAGATATGAGTGGAAATATCTTAATCATTCATGCTGTCTTACTTGATTGTCTTCCCTCATGCTTCATTCTGAAATCTAACATACTGAACACTTTGTTGAGTGATAGAAGTGACCATATGCTTATGACACACTGGTAAAAAAATCTTGCAGTCAGTGGAATATTTTAATTACTAGCAAACATGATTCATTTATTAAAGCAAGGCCACTGTCAAGTAGAATCAAAGAGTAGAAATACATCAAGGAGGAGCTCGAACAGTTTGTATCCCGGGTGTGAGGGGCCTGCAGAAATCTTCTCCACCTTCCTTTTGACTTTGAGGTGTACAGGTCCATGGAGGGCAGGCTGGCACCGATTTTTTTTTTCTGCAGTCCTGAATGTCCACTGAAGTCTGTTCCTCTTTGGTTGCTGAGCCAAACCAGGCAGTGATGGAGGTGCAGAGAACAGACTCAGTGATTCCTCTGTAAAACTGTATCAGCAGCTCCTGGGGCAGGTTGAACTTCCTGAGTTGGCTGCTGTGCCTTCTTGATGATGGTATTGATGTTGCACATCCAATTCAGGTCCTAGGAGATATTGAAGCCCAGGAACCTGTAGGACTCTACCGCTGATACAGTGCTGCTGAGTATGGAGGTCCACTGTCATCTCCACTGTTTTGAGCATGTTCAGCTTGTTCAGGTTATTGTGACCACACCAGAGGGCCAGTTGTTCAACCTCTTGTCTGTACACATCGCTGTATCGGATGAGGTTGATGACTGTTACATCATCTGCGAACTTCAGAAGCTTAACAGAGGCATCCTCCAAAGTGCGGTCATGGGTGTAGAGGGAAAACAGCAGCAGGGAGAGCGCACATCCCTGGGGGGCACCTGTGCTGATTGTCCGGGTGCTGAATGTGGTTTTCCCCAGCCTCACCGGCTGCTTCCTGTCTGTCAGAAAGCTGGTTATTCACTGACAGGTGTGGACAGGCCCTGTCAGTTTAGAGCTGAGGATGTCTGGGATGATGGTGTTGAACGTCAAGCTGAAGTCCACAAAGAGGACCAGTGCATAGCTCCCTGGGAGTCGAGGTGTTGCAGGATGTAATGCAGTGCCATATTGACTGCAACAACCACTGACCTGTTTGCCCGGTAGGTGAACTGCAGCAGGTCCAGTAGGTGGTCTATGATGTCCTTCAGGTGGGCCAACACCAGTCTCTCAAAGGATTTCTTAACTACAGATGTCAGGGCGACAGGTCTCTAGTAATTCAGTACTCTGATGGAGAGATTATTGGGGGACCAGGATGATGGAGGAGCGTTTGAAGCAGGAGGGTACTTCAGACAGCTCCAGTGATTTGTTGGAGATGAGTGTGAAGATGATCAGCACAAGCTTTCAGTCAGGAGGGAGTCACATCACCTGGGCCTGGTGCCTTTCTGATAAATTTGTCAGTGAACAACAATATTAAACCTTCATTATGTCAAATGACTGTGTAATGTGAAGGGTATAATTTGTAACCAATTCTGCAGTTCCTCTCAGCTATACCAAGCTTTTTAATATCTTTCTTTGTTGGTTTTATGATCTGTAACTTCACCACTGCTATCTGCATTAAAAAAACAGATTTTCTTCTTATGAAGAAGTGCAAAATAAATTTTTCAAACCATGTCAAAGCATTCCTTAAGAAGGCAGTTAGTATATCATTACAAATATGTTTTTGATTATATTTGACTGGAATAACAATGTAGATGGATGGTACTGTATAAGTTTAAGTGCTTTGGAAAATCAGTTTTTCCTTGTTTCCTTTCTTGGATTCTGACATACACACTAATTATTTTACACATTCCCCTAATAACTGTCATTAACCTCAGCATATGTTCCATTCAAACTGAACAAAATATATAAGTAAAACTACTTTTTACTTGTTCTTTTGAAAAGAAAAGTTCAAGATGTTGTACACCCTAAATAAAAGTGAAGCTGATGAATTATAATTGGAAGTTAAAGTTGTGCATTTCATTTTTTCATACACAAGTTTCTCTCAGGACATATGTACAGTAAAGCCCCTTTTCCACCACCTGGTACCGGCTCAACTCAACTCTACTTTACTTAACTGCCGTGAAGTCATCATCCTACGTGCTGGCAGAGCAGGCTTAAAGCTGTTGTTTTCATCCTCAGACTGTTATTATACCTTTTTATTAAGTTGTGATAGTTTTTCAGGTGAGAAAAGAACCATATAGTTTTGGAATATGTGGCCATGCTATCCAAGTAATTACAAATTTGCTGTGATATTTTCGGAGATGTGATGACCCGCTAATGTGCCATGTAATAATGAGCCACCTCTATTTAGCAGGCACAGCTGTAGTCAACTGTGCTCGTATTGTAACATTCAGTAACCCTTCTCGACGTGATAAGATGTACAATGTGGTTGTTCATGTAATATAATGGGTATGTTATATTGTATTTGGAACTGTCACCATAAATTTGACCCTTCATAACACTCATGAGGGAGTAGTGCCAGCTACTATTATGAACAAATTAAGAACAAGCGACTGGTTTCTCACATGTAAACAATTGGGTTCATCAGTGGCAAGATGGCCACTTAGTAGTGACGTATTTCTCTGACCATTCAGTAGTCTGCAGTGTTTACATGTCACCATTTGGTTCCACCTCAGCTCGTTTGGAACCTCATCGGAGGTGACACTAGAAACAGTACCAGGTATTATCCCCAACTTTTGACTGATGGAAAAACAAATAAGTGGTGTAGAGTCGAGCAGAGTCAAGCTGGTACCAGGTGGTGGAAAAGTGGCTCAAGTGATATCATGGAGCCCACTATCACTCAGCATAGCTGAGACTAAACCTTCAGCACAAAGCAAAGAGCATAATCTGTGTTTTCAAAACGAAGTGAGAAAGCCAACCAACTGGATGATCTTTTGCAGCCTTCAATAATCTCTTCTGGCTCTGTTTTTGTACATATGTCTCAAATGAAATGATTGTATGTTAGAGCCTTCAGCATTGTGCTTTGAAGTCTAGTTTGATGGTTTTCAGTAGCCAGTACATATATTCTGTGTTGAATAGCACTTTAAAGTCCTTAAAGTTGTATTTTTGTATTTTTGTGTATAAAACCTGAGTTCCAATGTAAATATAGTGTATTTGTATTTGTAGTGTATTCAGTGAAAGCTCCCATCATATACAGTATTAAACAGTATGTGTTTCACATTAAGATGAGAGTTTTTAGTACACTATGTGCTTGGACTCATATGAATGCAGTCACCCACGCTACACCATCTTTTTAAAATTCCAGCTCATTTGTGTCTTACAGCAAATTGTGTGTTATGTGTGAGGACAAAAGACAATCTCACATCATGTAGGCCCCTGGTGCAATGCACTTGTGTTACAGTGTCAACACAGTGTGAGGCAAGAATGGTGTTTGTATGCTTGTACGTTTAATATTATTTATACTATAGATGAAGGAGTGTTTAAAGGGGATCTTTGTTTAAACTGAATAACTTATTGGTTGTGAGGTGTACAAATACAGATTTGTGTACAATGGAATTTTCCATTTATATTATACAGTATACTATAGACAGGTTACTCCACCTACAGTATGTATAAAATGTGATCATATGCTAAAAGGACTTTTTCATATGGCTAAGCAGAATATACACTGTTCTTTTATTTATGTTAATTTATTTAACCTCTATTTCCAGGGTAATCCCACTCAGACTGTCAGCCTCCTATTCAAGAGAGCCCTGGCAAGTTCTTTGAAGGGCAGCAATCACCATTATGTGTGCTTTGCGGAAAAAGAAGACTTCACCAGAAAAATGACAAGTGGATTTCGTGTCCTGTAAATAATTACTATCCTCCCTTAGATGCAAAGGCAGGAGTTATTCGACATGGCTATAGTCTGTAAAAACCTCTTAAGGAGAAAGTGTGGATGAATGGTCTGGTGTAAACAGTGTCTTTCCCTAACCATAACCAAGTACTTTTGGTTCCCTAAACCCTAGCAAACCTTAAAGTCCCCATTGCATGCTTGTTTCCAGCCATTTAATGTTTAATCGTGGTACCTCTAGATTAGCTTTGCACCCATCAGTTGCTCCCAGTGATAACACAGGTATGTGACTGTGTGAGCGTTTGTGAGTGTGAATGGGTGAATGGCCAAATAGTGTGAAAGCGCATGAAGTGTGCTGCAAAGCATAGAAAAGCGCTATACAAGTATAAGACCATTTACCATTAGCCATCATAACTCCAAATAGTTTATATTTTTTTCAGAATATTAAAACCAGAGAGTCTCTTCCTAAAAATGAGAGGATAGTTTGTGAACATGCATGACTACTGCTGCCGGTGTTGTCACAAGTGGACCGTGATGGCATTAATTAATATGAATTTATTCTCCAGGTAAACGACGGTATAGGTAAAGAGATGTGTAACACTCTAAACAAAGCAGGTAATTGAGAAACTCCATATTTTAACTGGCATAATGCAGACACAGTAACTTCTCTTGACTTACAACAATTCTCTCTAATGTTACAGAAACAAGGCATTAACAGACATGCAAC